CTTCTGCCTTTCTTTGTGTCCCCAGCACTCAGCACAGTGCCTGGCACACAGTAGGGGCTGCTTCTGCCTTTTTTTGTGTCCCTAGAGCTCAGCACAGTGCCTGGCACACCTCCTTAAGGTACAGCAAATAATACAAAACCTCTCGTAAAACAGGGATGGGGTCAGGGCCCAAGTGAGTCACCAAAGTCCCTTCTGGCTCTCATATTTCATGAGTCTAGGAAAGCAGGATGGCATGATAGAAATTTCAATCCAATAAGTCTAATAAACAATAAGTGCCTACTATATGCCAGGCACTGTGCTACCTTCAAACACTAGCTTTGGAATTGAAGGAATAGGGTTCAGATTTTATCTCTGCTAAATTACCTCCACCTGGGAAAGTTGTTAAAAAAAAACTACTTGGGCCTCAGTTTCCTCATCTGTAAAAGGAGGGAATTAGAAGGGCAGGCAGGCCCCTGAGGTCCCTTCCAGCTTTGGAGCCCGTATGAGTCTGTAACTATCCCAGAGTTTTCTCTTGACAGAAGGAAGAAGGCAATTTCCCTCCACTATGGTGTTTCCATAGGGGAGAGGAGGCCCAGGGTGGTGACTGAGGGCAAGTGTTCCTGCCAGTGAGGTAGGGATAAAAAGCTGCTACTTCTTTCCAAGCCTGCAGTTCCATTTGTTTTGGCCCGTGATAGTCACTGGGAGGCTGAATGTATAACTTGTCCTTTTGTTCAGAACCTGTTCCACATCTTTTTGTTCTTTGTATGACTCACATGAGAGGAAGGATGATGGATTGTTGCCAGGTCTGGCACTGCCATCCAAAAAAAAAATGTAATGGAACTTGGAGCAAAGAGACAAATTTAGGCTTCATTTCACCAACAACAAAATGAAATGAAAGAACAACCCACCCATACCCTTCCTGACAGTGGGAGCTGTCCAATAGTGTAATGGGCTGTCTCAGTGGTAGTGGGTCGCTCCTGAAGATGGTCAAACCAAAGCTAGGTGGCTACCTGTCCTAAATATTGTGCAGTGGGGCGTTGTTTTTTCTGGTATAGGTTGGACCCAAGGCCCTCTTCCAACCTGAAATTCTACCATCTGTACAAGTAACTGTTGCCAGACACTGGAAATAAAAGTAGAGCAGTATTCTGAGGTGTGTTTGAGAAGCTTCTCAGGTGTTTATGTGAGTAGGTAAGGTGTTGGATGTGGGCTGGTGGAAAAAGCCTGGGATGTAAAGTCAGAGGTATGGGGTGGGGGGTAGGATTGCTTAACATCTCTAGGCCCTCCCCATTTCCTCTTTTGTAAAATGAAAGGGTTGGATTGGCTTATTTCAAATATTCCTTCTACCTCTGAATCTATGATGCTATGTTCCTACAGTTGCCTTCCTTCTGTAACACACTCACACCCACTAGGCTAAAATCAGATATGCCTAGGTGGCAGCTGGGTGGAGATAATAATAATAATTATTATAGCTAGCATTTTTGTGTAGCACTTTAAGTTTGCAAAACACTTTACAAACATTTCATTTTATCTTCACAACAACTCTGGGTAGTAAATGCTATTATTGTCCCCATTTTGTAGATGAGAAAACAGACAGAGGTTGAGTTTAGATTTGCTTTGCATCACATACTAAATGCCTGAGGATGGATTTGAACTCAGGTACAGCTATAAGGCTCTGTCCGTAGTGCTATTATTCACAAATGTCAAAATAAATCTGACTTGACTCTCTGTGTTTACTCTATGTGTATAATTTTGTGTAATCACTTCTATTTCTGGCCCATCCCAATTTGGTCTCTCTCTTAGGATGTCTAGCAGTTGACTCCAATACTGAATTTCTTTAGCTAACTCTTCCCTCTGTCCCTAATGCATCCTTTCTGGCTACTTTTTCACATTCTATTTCCCGTCTTTCATTTCATTACCCAGATTGTTTCCATATCCTAGTATCTTCCTTACACATAACTGAGATGTGGAATGAATTTCTTTTTGAGAAGTAATACATTGGGACAGACAGATGGTGAATTGAGCACCAGCCCTGGAGTCAGGAGGATCTGAGTTCAAATCCATCCTCAAACACTAATCAGCTGTGTGACCCTGGGCAAGTCGCTTAACCTCAATTGAAGAAGGAAAGCAGGAAAGAAGTAAGAAAGAAGTAATACATGCCATTTGCATATTGTCCTAGCTTTTAAAGTACTATCCAAGCATTGAGTAGTGCTGAACTTTGAGGCAGGAGGGTGTGAGTTAAAATCTCATCTCAGAGACTTCCTAGCCCTGTGGCCCTTTAAGTCCTATGAGGCTCAGTTCTCTGATCTGTAAGATAGGGATAATAACAGCACGCAACTCACAGAGTTATTATGAGGATCAAGCAAGACATAGGTCACATTTTCATGCAGTTTTATGGTTTGCAAAGTGTACTTTCAGTGATCTCTTAGTTGCCATATGTGGTGGTCTCTTCCCAATTGCCATCCTCACCTACCTTTCTGAAGTGTTTGACGGTGATGGTCGTTCTCTCCTCCTTGACAGTGACTTCCTCCACGCTTGGGTTACCTACATTCTTTTGATTAATCCTCATGGCAGGCCTGTGAGAGCAGGTGGCATTTCCATTTTGTAAATGAGGAAGGTGAGGCTTAGAAAAGGCTAAAATCGCATGAGTTCATGTTGAAAACAGAATAAGAAGGGAGAACGCCTGATTCTATTTCCACCGTGATACTAGTGTGTGATAAAATGTATCCCAAGAATTTGTGCCAATTAATATGAAATATACTATAGTAGTCTATCTGCATAATAATAAAAATGCCCCCTTAAGTGGACTTTAGTACTAGTGATGGTGACCCCAGACACAGCTCTTAAATGAGGAAATTCAACATTTCAATTCAACAAACACCAATGACATCTTCACTGCTTCTGTAGACCATGGGTCTTGACTTTTATCTTGCCACTGGACGTCGATGGCTCTGGAGGAGAGAGTGAGGCTGACAACTTTGCACAGCCCTGCTCCACTTAAATCCAGTTCATGCATAAGTCAAGACATCACCCTCATGATGTCATTGGTCCTTTTTGAAAATGAAGGATGGAGTGGGGCAGCTAGATGGTGTAGTGGATAGAGTACTGGCCCTGAAGTCAGGAGGACCTGAGTTCAAATCTGGCCTCAGACCAAACACTTGACACTTACTAGCTGTGTGATCTTGGGCAAGTCACTTAACCCCAATTGCCTAAAAAAAAAAGAAGGATGGGGGCAGCAAGGTGGCGTAGTGGATAGAGCATCGGCCCTGGAGTTAGGAGGACCTGACTTCAAATCCGGTCTCAGACACATAACCCTTACTAGCTGTATGACCCCAGGCAATTCACTTAACCCCCTTGCCTAGCCAGAAAGAAAGAAAGAAAGAAAGAAAGAAAGAAAGAAAGAAAGAAAGAAGGAAGGAAGGAAAGAAAATGAAGGATGAACAACATGGCTTGATCCCGTGGGGGGGGAGGGTGAAAGTTGAGAAGATAAGTTGAAGCCTGTCTCATACCCAATGGCTTGTCTCCAGAACAACTACACTATCTCTCCTATTGCTTGAAGGAGCCGTGATTTCACTAGTAGAGGCAGAGTATCACCTCTACCATTGAATATCTCATCCTTTCTTCTTGAATCGAAAGTTGAATTGAATAGAAATTTGAATTGAAATTGAATTGAAAATTGAAAAATCTTCGTGATTGAAAAAAATGAAACAAAATAAAACACAACACAACATTACCTGGTAGGTGGTGGCTGGCGCCCTGCTCTGCCCTGTGCTCAGTGGTTCTCACCTGACTGGAAGAGCCACTCACTGAGCCCAGACTCAGAGTTTTTACAGATTAAAACCAGGGATTCCGCTCCCTTAGTCTAATCTCTGAGAAGCCAAGATCACCTCTGTGCCAAAATGAGACATCAGAATAAAAGGACTTGCATGTAATAATAATAATAAATAGTAATAAAATAGTAATAGTAGTAATAAATAATAATAATAAATATAAGTAAATACATAATTATTGTATATCAGTTACTGCCTTGAGCACTTTTACAAATATTATGTTATTTGATTCAATGTTTAGCACGGTGCCTAGTATACAGTAGGTAGTTAATAAATGTTGATTGGTTGATCCTTATAACAACCCTAAGTGGTAGGTTCTATTATCATCCCCATTTTATAGTCGAGGACACTAAGACAGATACGGCTAAAGTGACAGCCCTCACCCCTCGCTGTCAGTGAGTTGGGGATTTCTATCCCAAGCATATGAAGACCTCCCCCTTGGGAATGGAAAGA